AAACGAATTGATGAGTTTTTTTTTATTAAAATTTTTTGTAATTAAAAATAAATGTTGTACCTTTGAACATTACCTTTTGTACACATAACAATTTGTGCATTAAAAGATCTAACGAAAGTGCCGCAGATCCGATATTTATTTGCTCAAAAAATGATCAATTCAATAAATTTCGCAGATTTTTATCGTTATTATATATATTATCGGCTCATAATAGCCCAATGAGTAGACAGATATAATTTGTATATGCTATCGACATTCATACCAACATCCAAGGTAAAAACTTCAACTTTCACCCATGGACGAGATATTTTTCAGAAAAGTTCGGACTTTTGGTTGCTATGGACTCATATTTTTATTGTTAGGTTATAAAAAATCATTATTGATGTTGCAAATAATAATTCATATATGATTCATACGGCGTATCCAAAAATTATTTGTGTCTATGTGCCACAGTCATTATGTCAATTTAAAAAAACAGGTTGCGGATTGAGGTAAAGGGAAAAATTTCTTATATTCGAGTGAGTGCTGTCGCGTGCTGGTCATGACAAAAAAGAGAGAGACATAAATGTGACCGCAAAGATACCACATACAGTCCGAGTCACTTAAATGGCCTCACCCCTGAATATAGTATATCTTTATATTAACATACATTATTATTACGTTAAACCCTGTCTAATTTTCTCTTCACGTGCAGTGCCTTACGATACAAGATACAACTTGCATGAACCTGTACATAAACACCGCGCGTAGTGTCGATAAGTCAGTTTTTCCGCTCTACATGATTAGCCTTAGTGTCATTGGAACATTATTCGCGTACGGTTATATCGGTGCATCGTTATCAATCCTTCTTATAAGTAGCGTATATTACCTATATATTATTATACGACGAAGAAGAATTGTCTCTTCGTGGAAGGGTGGTACCACCTCTGTCATTGCTACTACACCAGTGATGTTACTTACACCTCCATCTACAGGAGAGAATACTAAATTGTTTTAGGCCATATTGACGACGGACGCTGCGGAAGTCGAAGGGGCATAGCCACTCGAGAGAGGGGATCGCGACAACGAAGCCGGAAGCACGCCGAGTCGACAATTACTCAACAGTTAAGCTTACGCTGTCAAACTGTACGGACGGGAGTTCAAATCTCGCTTCGTGAATAAGTTATAACTTAATAAACGTTAGACCAGGAACATGCTGTGGTTGCTGGGGCATCGTGGACCCGCCAATCAAGGAAAATCGGAGGAACTAGAGGACCTGCATCGCCAACGGACATACGAGTTTGGATCCTGGGTAATTCACCGAAGGTCAGCTGCAGAGTCCTGACGCGAAGAAGACCACGACAACGCTACAACGGTCTGTTAGAAATTCTACTTCAGAATAATCTGGGTGAGCCGACCTTTAAGCAACTGTTTTCAAGGGTATTGGGCGAAGTCGCGTTAATATTATTATTGTTGAATTATTATAATCTTCATTCCCTAATCGTCGTTATTTCGGCTCGTGCCCCGGAAGTCAATTATAACCTAAATGGCGTTGAACGCAATTATCGTGGACTTTTCCCTCTAAAGTTCGGTATATGAACTTTCAGCGTCCCAAGGGTCCAGAAAGAGAGACGTCTCTAGACGTAGATCGTTCCAGAATTCACTAAGATTTCATACAACTCTTACGTCGTACAGAAAGTGTGTCCGAGGTCATACGAAGAAAATTGTCAATTCACATTTCGTTTGTTAATTTATTTTGGTACATTGCATGCAATCTCATCTGCAGAAGCTGGTGTAAGGTAAGTGACAACAAGAATATCTAGTACAGCAAATATAGATAGAATCATAGAACAAAGACACTCGAGTCCAAGTTCCCTGGTTAAATAACCTTAAAGAGATCACCGAAGATTTTAGAAATAGAATTTTGGTATATTTTAGGTACAGCAAACAATCTAAATTTCTTTTTGAGAGATAGTAACATCATCTATCTCTCTCGTTTCTTTTTGAAATCTTATTCTGGCGCGAACAGCTATCTTCCCACCAGAATATCTGAATATCATTTCTGAAGTGTTATTTTATTCATATCCTATAATCGGTCGTAATCCTAAAGTAATCAATTATTATATGAAACAGAAAGAAAACTATAGAAATAACTATAAAAGTCGGACAAAACTGGTAACTTTGTCTCTCACTTTCTACGGTACCACGTATTATAAAGTCATTATCACACCTTAAAAAAAACAAAAATTGAAAGAAATCCTTTTCTGCGTGATCAGCATCAAAAAGTCTGATCATGGTTTGTTTAAAAGCATATGTCCTGGACGAATGAATGGCATAATGTTGTTTCAGTGACAAAAAAAAAATTGAATTAGATAGTTCAGATGTATATTTACACTATTTTCACGATTTAAGAAAAGAATAACGCACTTGATACATCGTAACCCACACAATAATCCCGTTTAATTCTCATGAGATTGAAGAATAAAATGAAAAATTAAATTGTCCCATACATTCTTATTGAGACTTATACACCGCTGCTTGCTCATTCTGGTAAGACTGAATCATAGATTAAATATAGATAAATATATTATATTCCTATTTGTTCTTATTGGGACGCACAGGGTTGTCCTATTTATTCTCTGTCATTCTTGTATCATAGTTTCGAATTTTTGTACCACCCATAAGTTCTGATTCGTTTTGATTAATTTTTATGAGAACCGTGCTACCTTGCTATAGAACCAATATATTCTTATAAGATGTTTATGGTTTTCAATAGCTGTCTGACAGACTATATTGGATTGGTTTACCAGGAAGTATTGTCGTTTTTTTTTTGGAGTAATTAAGATTAATGAAAAATACACGAAATATTGAAAATTAATTGTAATCATATTTATCTGTGTTTTATTTATTGAGGCTATTTACGTAATTATCTCTTTTTTTCACTTAAGTTAATTATTAATATTTTTTTATTATAATTATTTTAATTCTTTCATTCATGTTATATTACTATTCTAATAAAGTTTATTGATAAAATCTGATAAACAGTTATAGATAAAGAACAGGATTTATATTTAATCTATTGGTGAGGCTATTCAAGTGACTTGGACTGTATATATATACTTGGGATAGAGCCTGGCGTTGGTGACACGTAGTTTGGAAACACAAACCCATAAGATTCTTCTGTATTCAAAATCGCTCAACGTGCCTCAAGAGGTATGGTAATGAATCTGAAAATGCATCAGAAATATTTTTCGTATGTTATGTAATTTTGCTCTTTAAAGGTGTCAATATTTTACATATGCTTAACCGTAGAGAGTTTAAGTTCCTCTTTTTAGTCCTAGCCTTTCGACCAATAGACAGGGATGAGGGGATCTTCGATAGAGAAAGTAAAAATGTGTGATTTATATAAAAACAATAACAAAATTTTATTGAATGAAAATTATTGAAGAATTATAACAACAATTTAAACGTTACCAACAGATGATTCCTATTACTCTGGTCGAGATGGGTTACAATTAATTGGTCCTTAGTCGATGTTCCAGTCAGCGCAATTCTTCATTTTATCTCGCGAATTAATTTAAATATCAATTTAAAAATAATTTGACAATCAAATAAACTTCATACGAAAATTTACAAACTTTGAAGTATTATGAATACAATACTCAAGACTTATGATTTCAAGAGATGTTCCACGACGATCTGATCTCGATCTTACTTTTTCGACAACTGACTGATGCATCAAACCTTACGTATTTATTTAGTCGAATGTGACATAATTAGAAGTCCCTTGCTTCAGGCGCGCACAAGTCCCTTCGCATGGTCTTTTCCTTTTTTGGAAAAGCTAACGCTCTTCTTACGTCACGTACTCTTTTTTTTAAGTTTTATTGCTTTTCGCCACGTGGGTTCTCCAAAAGCAATAAAATATCTAAAAAATGACTTCCTCAACTATTCTTCGAAATCCTTTCTATTTTAACGAAATCTTAGGAAAACTCAAAAAATAACTTGAGTAATAATCGTTAACCTCAATCCTTAAGTTTATTGCTATTCATTTTTAGCTTTTCTTAAAATATATTTTAAATAATTATGTGAAATAATTAAAATACATATAAAATATACAATTTATAGCAATTCATTCCATATTTGATTAAAAATATCGTTGCTTAATATTTTAATGAGTGTTAGTGTATCGCTTTAGAATTATTACAGACTCTATTTATCAGTTCTTTCACAATCCCATCGAATAATATCGAAATCGAATTTCACTAATTGAATACTTGATTTAAAAATCATCAACTCAGTTAAATGGCCCTATTATATACGAGTATATTTAATTTAAGAATTTAAATAAATAATCATTGTAAAGGCGAAAATTGAGGATATAGGGTAGCGCGCTTTTATAAAGGAGAGAAAGCTGCCGACCAAAGCGGATAAAACTGGTACTACGGGCGACCAAAATCCAAGCCAGCATCCGGGGCTGCAAAAACAGGGTGCTTTCGGTCAATTGAGGTTGGACTCGTAGTGGTATGTAGCAAGACCTTGGGGTAGATGCGTGTATCCTCGTGCCTTTCTAAAGGCGCAAGAATATTACGTCCCAAGTAACGCCGTCGCTATAAGTAGAGTCATCCCCAGAGTTATGCCCTATAAGGCAAGGTACTCAAATAAAATGTCCTTCTCAGGACAGGGAAACAAGGCGTTTTATAAAGGAGAGCGTTCGGACAAAGAGGAGTTGTCAGGATAGAAAAAATCGTTTCCTTTATTTATTTCTGATTGGCTGTTTCTAGTTATTAGTTGTTCGGTTCTGCTACTAATACCATTGGTTTGATGTCATTATTCTGAAGACATGGATTATGCAATAGTATCAAATTCATTCTAGTTATCTTATATATTCTTGCAAATTAAATTTTAATGATAATAAATGAGAATTTGAATTAGCTTTTTTTAATGTCATCTGAATTTTAGTCAACTTATTATGAAAATTTCTATACTTAAAAGTAAAAGTTTCTAATTATGATGTTTTTTACCAAGTTCAACAGTAGCCATTCGATGATATAAAGGCAACCAAATAAGACAATTAGGTCCCGGATCTGATAGTAGAGTGTCCAAGAAATCATTGACAGTCACTTTAATATCCTGAAAAATAAAATGTGTGGTCATACATCTTTATAAGAAGGAGTATCGACGTGTTCCTTTGAAACAAAATATTAATGTAGAAGCTATTTCAAAGTATCATCATCGCGTTTTTTGCGTCTGGTATATGTAATTCTAAATCAAATTTTAATAGATACGTATTTTCTAGTGCATATACATTTTCTTAGTTTGAGGTATACTCTAAAAGAAACCAACTTCAGGTCGCAGTTTACAAGTTTTATGAACCTGTAGTCAATATTATAATTTAAGACTAAATTGATTTCCATCAGCAAAAACAATGCAGAAAGGTGCAAATTCAAAAGTTACAATAAATTCATTGTTATAATGCTTAACATTAATAAACAATTGAAAAAAGAAATCCTATTAACTTTTTTTTTTCTAAAGACAAATTGCGATTGGCATCAGTATGAGTATCAGACAATTTGATCAAATTAAATCACAACACTGTGCAGAAAAAATTGTTACCAGTTTTCGTTTGCAGATCATGACCAGTTGGTAGTCCAGAAATACTGACACTAAAATAGCGAATCATGCTTACATTCACCATATAAATCATCTATGAGCTTTTATTTGCTGCATAGATAATAATATTTTTATATTTTTTTTAAAAAGGTATTTAACTTCAAAGATTTAAAGTTGGAAGTTTTCTGAAAAACATACAGCCATTTTTATTCATGAGTAAAGTTTGAACGTTTCGCATTTTCTCGAGTTGGCACTTGCTGAAAGCAATCTGTAATACATGTTTATTTTTTATCTACCGTTTAATATCTATAAAACTGTTAAAATTCATTGAATCATTAGTAATTGCGTATGTTAAATGGATTTAAGTTCGTAAATAATTTCTTTCATAGAATGCATGTGATAAAGCTATACAATTTATTTTCGTGTCAGGCAGGTGGTATGAGAATTTACTATAGTTTGGTATGTAAAGTGAAATTGTGATATCGTTGGGCATTAGAGATTCTGGTAAAAATAGTACAATCACCTACATTTATGTTCATTCTCAATGAGCAATTACCAACCGCGAAAATGATTTTCCTTCATATTGAGTTTCGTTACGTCCTGTGTTTCGTTTTCCCACTAGCTGACGCTAAAGTATTGAATTAAGGTGCGGAAGATATTCAAAGGCTCAAAACAAAAAAGGTGAAAACAAAGTGATTGTAACGAAAGGTTTAAACTTAAATTGCAGCGTTCTTATTGATGGCTTAAGTAGATTCGATTGCGACCAAACTTAGCAAATATGTAGAGGAGTTCTAGGAAAGGTAAAAGGCTACTTTTTGTTTATGTAAATGTGTTACAATAACAAAATTTGTTATACGATCTCTCTTTGTTCATAACTATTAAATTTTGTTATAAACAATTGAAAACGAGACCTATGCTATCAATTCGATTTCTTTCAACGGAAAATTTTTTCTTCGGCTAAAAAAGACGTACTAACTGTGTGTTGCGTGAACTTAACCGTAACCTGTCAGATGGACTCGATCTTTTCCTAGCTCGTACTCCGTCAATCTCGCCCTATTCTAGCTCTTCTTCTAGCACTCAACTAATTACAACTCATCTTCTCCGACTTAGCTAATGACAGGTATCGTACTATTGTACTACTGACGCCAGCTACAACGTGTTTGCAGCCATTAACGCTCATACGACGCTTAAGTACACGTATTCTGTTGCAACTCTGTCTATTTTTTTCATCATAGTTTGTCCAAAAATCGTTTATCAGCTCTAGATTGCTCAAAATTGTGTCAAGTAAGCTCTAACATTGTAACGGGGTTATTATTATAATTGAAAATAGTATATTTTTATAATAAAAACATTGTTTATCTCAAGCAAAGTGTTTTTTATGTGTGGGTGCACTTCTCCTGACCACATCCTACAGCGTGGCTCATGTGCTTCCATTCTCTGAGCTCGTGATTAGTAAAAACCAACTTAATTAAAACATTCAGCAATTTATTTGCACTAAAATCACCGTGTCGCATAAATAGAAACGAACTCTTATCGTTTATAACAATCAAATTTGTTATGAACAATTAGAAACGGCATCAAAGCAATAAATTGAAGTGCAGAACTCTACTCTCAATTTTTAATTATTTATCACAAATTTACTAATTATGAACAGGGAGAGTGAATTTCTATTTATGTTACAGAATTAATGAGTAGAGTTCTGTACTGGGGACACCTTAAAAAATAAATTATTTGTGCTGGGATAAACTAAAATAGTAAATAAATTTATTCCAAATTGGAGCTCACAATTAAATTTAATTTGTCTTTTTACTTAGTTATCTATTTATTAATCTATCTGTGAGTACACTGCATGCTTTTTCTTTTTGCTTTATTTCTTTTGGTCTTTTTTGTTGCAAGTTCATTTGGGCTGCTTTTTGCAGTTCTCCATATTGTATAATAATTTTTGCACGGAATTGCTTTGTAGCTGCATATTTCATAGTTTATGTTTGAGACCTGCCAATTTGGACTTATTGAGGTTATCCGCCGTCTTCTACGTCATTCTATATATTGCACTTTTCTGTGGCGCTGGCATCTGCAGTGAATGTTTTTCGTACTAACTGCTTTACGTGAGGCCCCGTAGACTAAGTAGTGACCGGTGTTACCGACGATTTCGATTAAAAATCCGATCTCTTTCTTCACGGCTTTATTTTGTTCTAACTTTGCTGTGATTAGGTTATAATGAAGAAAGATATGGTCATATTCAGCTACTGAATCTGATAGCTCATCGAGCTCAGCCAAAAGAACAAGAAGTCAGATAAGCTCTGATAGCGTTCTCTATTTAAAGATGCTACCGCCAAAAAGAACTGCTAAAATCACTTTACAGAATATTATGAAATGTTATAACAATAAAATTCTGAAAATTGTATCAATTCATACCCATTTTTTATCATTGCTTGAAACTAATTTTTTTCTATCAATATTTCAGATAGCTTCAACATTTTTTCTTAAAATAAAATATTAATAATTTCGAATAATAATTGAAAAAATTGAGTGGAATATAATTCCTCTTTTAATATTTAATTATGTTTTCATAAAACATTTATAATTGACTTTTTGGGTCCTACTTTAATGATATTACTATAGCTCATAGCAAGTATTATTTTCTTCTCTAGGATACAGAGGTGAAATCAGAATTAATCTAGACTTTAGATTATGTTGATTTTGCTAATTATGTCGATTATGTTAATTATGGTTTACTATGGTTGTGAATCAATTTAATTACTTACTTGATTTGAGAACATTCATAAGATTGCCAATAAGCTTAACTTTAGTCAGTATTAATTGGGTGAATGAATCTAATGTATGTCTGTGAAAATCCAGTATAGTAATTGTCTAAGTACAGATTTTTTAATATTTTTCTATGCTCCACGCCGAAAGTGAACCAACGTGAGAGATTTGTTTCAGTCATTAATTGCTCAAAAGATTTACATTTTGAGACTATGTATGTGAATTTAATATATAAACTTGTCATGATTCACACTATACTTGTTCACAATAAGTCCATTCTTCCGCATCCTCTTCATTCCCTCTATTCTCTGGAAGAATCGCACAAGTCTTGAAATCCTGCCTGAAATCTAAGACTTAGATCCCACTTTACAGGCATGATGAACGACGTTATATAGAATATTTTCAAAGTGGCAGCTATAACAAAAATTACTACTTCACGGAATTAAAGAAAAAATGACTTTATTTTGTGACAAGACGGGTTTGAACTCTGTGTCCATTCCGGACAAGTAGTGCCATCCGTACCAGCCAGAATGAGCCTGAAGTTACAAAATACTCATGTCGCCCTCTCTGGGAGACTTTACACTGCTGATAGAGCGCCATCACGCCGAATGCCGGTATGAAGGATATCTGCGTGACCTACTAAAGTCAAATAGAGGACAACGTTCCGGGGAACACCACCTTAAGACAGCACTTCGATTGTGCCAGTTAGCCCCGAGCTGTAGCTGAGAGTAGTCAAGAGCGCTTGACTACAGAACGTTAGACAAACGATAAACGAACACGCTAAGTAGTACGGAAGTTCCCGAAAGCGGTAGATATCGTGTACGCGTAGAATAGAAGATCGTCCAAAAAGACATCATCTACGAAGCTGCCAGACTCCCAGCGGACGGACATACGAGTTGGAACGTCAGGGTAGTTCCCCGCACGCCAGCGGTCCAGCAGCAGTCGCAGATACATGACATCCCCGGAAGGCTTAACAGACTACGCAACTGAAAGTCGTCCAAGGACATCCAGAGCGACGGGAGAGTTTTTCTGAGACATTCCTAGCATTCTTCGTCGAAGTATTTTCAGGGTGAGCTCGACAACATAATACTGTACCTCGAAAAGGCATAGGGCGAGTCCCCGTGAATTAATAATTGTAATAATCAATTAATTGAGACACTATTTGGCCCTTCAGGCAATTGCTTTGTTTGCTATCATCGCCTCGTACCCGGCTAGTGTTCTAGTAATTATTAAAGATTATTGTAAATAATGACAATTGGATTAGTACGATCAATTCTTTGTAACGCGTGTAATAGCAGGTCCGCTTCAGGTCGCGGATTGGTGAATCCTACAAAATTGTACATTGATATCTTTGAATAAAGTTTCAGTATTATAATTTCGTGGACGACAGTTCCCTAGGGTTAAGTTCCTCCTGCCTTTTGCATGCTAATTTACAGGGATTGACCTCAGAACCTCCAAGGAATACTGGGAACCTCCTACGAGTGTCATCACCATGCCGACGGGTATTTCTCATCCCCGAAGGCTGCGCACAATTTAATCCGCCGTCGCTAGTCTAATATTCGCATATTTCTCTTGCTATTTGATTCTCTCGTCTCACTCATTCGTTCATTTGCAACATATTTCTCTCGTATAACTTTCTCTACAATCACCAGACGAGGAATAAGGTAAATGAAAAATTACATACATATGTATTAAGCAGAACAATCATAAAAAACTCATAGTCCAACTTTAATTGACTGATCACGGATCCGAGA